CCTGGTTGAATAGTAGCACCGGCTGCTTTCTGGTGTTGCTTGTTACCCATTCCGTTCAAAAAGAAGTCGCGAACGGTTTGAATAAGAGCTATAACCTTGTAGATGAGTCAAGTTACGTCAAGCGTCGGCCAGTGTCATGTCTAATGCTCTGATTCTTCTTGAAGCGCTCACGTCACCTTCACCGTCACCATTGCCACCCTCTGCCCCCCGCTATGAATAGGCGGATTTACTCGAGTGTGGCGCTAATCGGCACTCCTCGATCGCTACCGTACGCGAATTATTCAGCGAGGTTACTTCGGGGCTCACACTTCGACGCTGGCATTATAGTAGCCTGATATAAAGGGAACCAGTGATCAAGGACATGCATTTTTTCAAACTAGATTCATGTAAAGTGAGAGTCATCTTCAGAAAGGGAATATTGATGTTTTTCTGATATTAGGTGTTTTGTGATACTGTGTGAATAAACAGATAAGAGAATATGCTGAAAAAGATCATCGCTCAATGGGGAGGAGACGGTCAATTCAATCGTCGGCTAATGAGGTCACGCCGCTCACGCGGCGGGCAGCGTCGCGCGCGGCAAATGGTGCGGCGATTTTTGTATGGGCCTTGGCTTAACGGTCCTTGTCCATAAGTTGCTGGTGGGGTTAGAGAACTGATAGAACTTCGTATATCTATTAACGAAGTCGGCAATCAGGCCGAAGTAACTTTTCAGTGTTGTGGACTCGATTTTTAATAGTAAATTTGAGTGGAAGGATATGCACTGAACAATGGGTAATCCTACTGAAAAACACTTCCTAAAAAATGATACATTAGTTACTGAGAAAAGTTTCGGCAAACGCTTTTAAATGTTCTTTTTATAGGAGCAGGACTAAAAAGAGACATTTTGCTCATGTCGCCTTCATTTAATTCGGCAACTGTAGCCGCCGTTGAAGCCATTCCACGAATGTCCCTCTATAAGTAGGCGCAAGCCCTCCTTCATTGCCCTCAGAATGTGACGTCATCTGCCATCGTCGAAGTTTTCTGGAACGCTGATTCAAAATGGGGCTCGCATAGTCAGAGCTACTGTCCCTAGAAGGTTATCCATCAGTTAGACGTTTGAAAAAATTCAAAAAAAATCTGCAGCAGCTCCAGGCAGGGGTAATTACGGTCGGCTTTGAGCTCAAGAAAACCTAGGTACTGTAATTGCTCCAGCCTGAAGCTGCTGCATAACTTTTTCCAAATTTTTACCAACATCAGCTGATGGATAGCCTTCTATAGGGACAATAGCTCTGACTGTGCGAAACTCTTTAGAACCAGCGTTCGAGATAACTTCGGAATAGTCTGCGATGCGCCGAGAACCTTGCCGAGCTGGAACCAGGGAGCATGGGCCCGTGGTAAATTCATGTGATATCGCTCGTGTAGAAGCCTGACACGAGGTTTTTTCATAGATCGGAATGTGCTCTTCAATTTTCATTTGGAAAATTTGGTTGAATTCAGCAGAGTAATTTCCGTTTTACAATGTGGAAGCAGAATGACTACCCCCCCCTAGATACAGTAACAATACGATATAGAAAACTTATAACCTCTATATTTTACAGTGCGCGACATGCGGAAAGAGTTTCAATCGGTCGTCTACGCTCAACACGCATATTCGGATTCCACCAAGGTCAGTGGCTCCATCCATAAGACGTCATCTTCGGTGGCTGGGGTGGTTCAAGAAGTCCCAGACGAGAAGAATGGGAATCATTCCCAGTTTCATCCTTCGTGGAGATCTGCAACTGGACCTCAACTGCTACTCTACATGTTTGTCTTTTTTTTTGGTATCCCCATCACAGCCTTTTCTTAGTTCAGGCACAAAACCGTATGTTTGTGACGTTTGCGGCAAGGCCTTCCATCAAAATGGCAATTTCCGAAATCATCGAATGACACATGAAGATCGGAAAAGATTTCAATGTCCTATATGCAAGAAAGTGGGTTTTCTTGCCGCTTTTCTTTTGAAAGGTTTTGGATTGAACGACTCCTGACGTTCCTATTGATGGCTTCCGTAGCGGAAATTCCCGTTCGACTGGTAACTGGGACTCAAAAGGAAGCAGCTTGATATCACATCATCGCACCTTATGGGAGATTTTTGACCATATTGGGATATAGGGCGGCAGTGGCGTTGTGGCAAGTGGAACGCTTACCACGCGCGCGGTCCGGAGATCGAATCCTGGGCCGTGCAGCAATCGGGACAACCAAACATTTCATCCTCCGGCAGCTCGGATTGATTTTCAGCATGGTGAGGCCTCATCGGTGTCCTCTTCAACCCTAACGCTATTGCTGGATGGCTAGGGAACCTGCGGCGAGTGGTTGCAGATCTTTTGCATGAATCTGAGAAAGTGAAATGCGTATACAGGCGTTGCTTCGCACTTTCCGCCTTCCGTGTTGGGGACTCGGAGATCGGAACATACTGCCTTGATTTCTGGATTCTGCAATTAGAAAGAGTTCTCATTAACTTCTTACCTCGTTTAAGCCCAGGCTGCTTCTGAGCAGAATTAACCCCTCGTTTTGGTTTCCGACTTCTGTGTGCGGAATTTTTGCTGATTTTTCGTAGCCCTACGTAATGTGATATGGTTTTTCCTTGAATAACGCTTTACCACTAGTTCCACGGAGTTCGCTCAAGTTTCCGCACCAAGTGATTTTACCTTTTCAGGGCTTCCATCAGTCGTACAACCTCGCCTTCCACATGCACACGCATACGAAGGAAAAGCCGTTCAGATGCTCGATATGCGGCAGAGGATTTTGTCGGAATTTCGATCTGAAGAAGCACATAAAGCGAATGCATACTGATACCTGCTCCAAATAAAAACATGTTTTCGTACCGTTTACCATCGTACCCTGTTCTTATACTAGAATTTTCGAGGTGTCCCTTATTCGGTATTATTTATCTACCTTCATTTTCCTGTTTATTTTGCCGAGTTATATTGCTGCAAAACAAGAGTCACCTGTAGATGCTCGGAAGAGCTAGAGCGGAAATATAAAAGAAATGTATAATATAAATAAAAAGAAGTAATTAAACAAGGAAAACTTTAATATAAATGCAAAATTTAAAAGCATTGAGATGGAGGATGCCTCTTTTCTACAAGTGAACTCCCCATAGTAGTCATCGGATGAATTCGCCGTGACTGTTCTTGTGCTCTTCATAATTTATTCCAGCTCAACTGATTTGCTGATAACAGGAAATTATATGACATATAATGAGCCTATTCCCAATTAGAAGGGGCAGGACTGTGGAACAGTTGGCACCGCCCACAGTAATCCCATGCGTGGGCAGAAAATTTCCAGGGTCCCGTTTTGCTTGTAGACCCACCACGGAGCTTCTTTCCCTGCAAAAGCTGGGGCTGCTATAGGCATTATGTGCTGCATCGAGTGTCCTTCTTATTAGAATAGCCCCTGATTTTTTGAATCTCAAACCAGAAAAAAAATTTAGTCACCCTTTTCGCCTTTTTTTAATGGAAAGAATAACACGTAGAATACGAAAATAATGTTTTAGCGAATAAGTTTTACCGCTACTGTACTGCCCCCACATATACTACTGACGTATTGAGGTCCACCGGGTGTCAGAGCCGACATGATCGCAATGGACTGCCCAGCCAGCGTTTTGACGGCGTCATTGAACGATATTGCTTGGCCAGACCCGGCAGCGCTAGGAATGTGGACCGCCTCGTAACACCCTTCCACCGATGAATTCCAATGACGTCATCAAGACCGCACCACCGCTGTTCTGATCGCTGCCTTTAAGGCTCATTCCGCAACTAGCAGAAAGAAGCTAGATATGGGGTAATATGAAACAGTATTTCAAAGTGCCTGCAGTGAAAAGGAAGAGAAATCACCGAAAACACCCCAATTTAGCTCCATCTCTCTTTGGACAGTAAGAGAGTGTGGGATATAGACAGCTCATTAAGAAGTATCTCGGAAGCGAGGGAACGGCATAGAGTGAGACGTAGACACCACAACAGTGGGCGTGCATGGCTGGTTAAGGTGTACATGGTTGCAAGTTCTGAGCACCTAGTGACGATTTCACGCGTCTTGAGTCACAAAAGTGACCCTATCTCTACGGTTGCAGACTTCAGCAAACTCATTCGCAAGGCAGATTAGTTGTATATAGTCGCGAAGTGTATCCTTCGAATGGTCAGCTCTTAGCCGCGTTCATAGTTCGCGACTAACGATTAGGATAGTGAGCGACAGGATATCAGGATAGTAGAAGAGGAGGATATTGAGCTAAAAACATTAGGTACGTACCGACTGGAATCGCTGGCATGATGTAGCTTACAATTAGGCGTCTTCGGAGCGAATAGATCAATATATCTAATCTTGTCAGCAAACTATCCTATTCTCCTTCTGTCCTAATCTACTACTATCCTAATGTACCCGTCAATACTTATGTTTTTCGCGGTCGCGTACAATCCTAACCTCCGGAGTCGCGAACTATGAACGCAGCATATTGACGCGGCAATGAATACTCTCATCAAAGATGTGATGATCCTGAAATGATTGGACATCCTCATAATTTTCTATGAATACTTTTTCATTGCTTGCTCCAGCTAATACCCTTAAAGTAACTGTAAGTCAATTGAGCCAGATGTCGCGCGACCGCACGTGCCGCCGCTCCACGAATTGCACAGCAAGACAGTTTTTCAGCATTCAATCCAGCCTTTGTTAGTCGGTGAATCTCGACAAAGGTTCTTACTAAAGTACCTTGTTACCCAGAAAAAAAAACTAACGGGGCACCCGTGAAGAAAAAACAACTTCAAGAGTGTCCCGATGGCGGTGACAATAGAAATAACGTGGATTTGTCGTCTGGAGGTTATCATGTGAAAAACTAGGTGTTTTTCGCCACCCGCACGGCTCCTTGTGAAGGTGAAAATTTCACGGTTGTTGCTCACGCGTAACGAGGTATATTCGCATGGCGCCACTCCAGTTTACGCACCGGAATCGCAAAACCGACAGATTACGGAACCCTTGGACCATGAAGGGATTTCTACGGGCACTTTTCCATTCCCTCTGCTCCAGGATCCCCAAGAAAATTTCTTGGCCGAGATCTCTCCTACAGGGTTTATTGGTGCCCAAATCGCGAACACATATGTCATTTACTGAGTGGGTGCTGGCGCAATAAGCGTTACATCCTTCGTAATCAGAGCCACCAATACCCCGAAAACAAGCACCCCACCTGATTCAGAGCACCAGCCTTGGCCTGAAAAATGAGCGCTATTTTCCACAGGCGCTCAATAACCCTCGCAAAAGGTCTTGGCTTTTTTTGAGGCTAGTAATAATGAAATGCACCCAGAATAGAGGGGTTGGATGGCGCTTTCTGCTCTAGCGAACCACATTGGTACCGACTGGTACACCAATCCCCTTACTTGATGAGACCCAAAAAACTGTTCAAATTGGAGAGCTGAAGCGCCCCCAGAATCGTTACCAGCGTATAGGACATGGCTTCTTCGCAGTGTGCGCGTCCTGCAGCGATGGGTCGTTTTAATACCGTAACCGTGCTTCGCGGCACTTCACGCGGCGTCGCAGTCAAAGTGGGCAAGGAGTCATCACTGAACAGAGAGAGGCGGCTGAGAAAGGCGACAGTAGTGGACGAGCTGCAGTCAACTACTTCTTATTTTTTGGGGATTTTTGAAACTTATTAGTGTTTTCTTGTATTAACTTGTAAAGATATTGTCATAGTACGGTTGGAAACGTATTGGCTCTTTTAAACAATTGTACAATTGCCTTTGGTCCGGAAGACGTGTTGCAAAATGAGCGAAAGTTCCTGTTGAAGCAGAATGAATGCCTTTCTTGAGTGTTGTTCTATCCCCGACCGTTTTTGACGTTATTTTTTGTGTCACACTTTTCTGAATCTTGTCACCCTACCCAGTTTAGATCATAAGCTTTGTTGAGTTTTCAATTCTGAACTTGTATCCAAACTTTTGAAGAAGTAGCTCTTCAAAATCGGTCCTCGATGAATCTTTTGTTCATGAGATTTATTCAGCTGGTAGGTGTTGGTGCCCCTTCTTTGGATTGTACAAGTAGTGATGTTATAGATTTTTTGTGAAACGATTTTGTGAATTGTTTTTATTGGATAACTGCTGTTTTACGCCGCAGTTCGCGCTGCGAAAGTTATCACAAGAATGCTGAGTTGTGGGCAAAACTTGTGGGCAAACAAACAAAACAAAAGTTTTGCCCACAACTCAGCATTCTTGTGATGATTTTGTGAATATTTTTGAAGAGTTAACGTTCGCGTCACGTTGGAGCTTTACTGTGGCTTGCGGTTTTTACTGCTTTGTTTTCAGGTAATATTTTGCCAAGATGGCCAAATCAAAGAACCACACGAATCATAACCAGAGTACGTTTTGTCTTGTACTTGTTCTACTTTCTTATGAAACTTCCATTTTTAACGATCATGGCCCCCCTGAATTTCATTTCGATCCGTGATTTACTCTTGTAGTGTGATCATAATAGAGGCAGGGAGTAGCCGGGAAACAAGATTCATCAAGCCTTTGAGCTTTTGATTCAACGTGGTGCTAGGCTATGGTTTCCTTACCAAGGCAATGTTCATAGCTCAACGGTTTTGGGGATTTGTGGATTCATTGAAAGAATGTGTATGTTCTGATCCGAAAGTTCGGCGACCCAGCTGAAAAGATTGGATGGACATCGACTCAATCTCTCCGTTCATTCGTTAATGCAGTGCGTCAACGATCCTTCTGATCGTTCCTCATACATTTGAAATGTAATGAAATTGTGTATGTAGAGACTGAAAGCTGAAGAGAAGTTTGCAGGACGCCGATGAGGGATTAGATTAAGCAAGGACACCTCCGCTTCTCCCTTAGGATCCCGTTCATTACCCTCACATTAGCGCTAGTAGGACTTTGCCAAGCGCTCTTGTAGCACCATTGTTCGCCCACAATGTATACACCTTTAGCCAACCATTTGGTCGCCCACAATTTATACACAACAAAGGCACTTCTGGTACGTGGCGTACTCTATCCCGCGCATGAAGATTGTCGGCGCACAATCTCTTCAGGACCTGCTTAATTTTTGGCTGCGCCTCGGTTTTTTCCGACGTCCAGGCGTCGAAAAAAATTCCAAACCATTCCAAAGGTAGTGAGTCCGACCCCTGGCCAAATGTATGGATTGGACGTCAATTTGGTCTAGAAATGAGGAAATAGAGTATCTTTCTATGCCGATAGGACTATGATTGCTTTCCCATTGGAAGGCGAAATGCTCGGCAAGCATTTGTTTCGGAAGTGACATAGGGTATTCTATCTAGGAGACCGCTTGCTCCCAAAATCTGAGAGCAACTCCGAGATCGAATCGTTTGTAATATCACTGATCGCTGTGTTATTAGCGGGGAGGCATGTCTACCGCCAGCAGTTCATTCCAGCCAGGATACTTCACTTTCCCAGCAGAGCTAGGAAGCCTAGGCGGTGGTGAATCATGTTTTGCTTGTGCAGGAAGCGACATGGTTAAAAAGCATTGAGTGCTCTGCGCCTCGCCATTCTCTCCCTCCTAGTACGTTAGTGTGCTCTGCTCCCAATGAGGGAATTAATGCATTTCTCTATTGTTCCAACTATAAAATTGTTGGTACAGGTCCAGTTTTTCCTGTGTGGAAGGGTAGATTTCTGCAAATTCATACACAACTGTTCTAAGCAGTTTGTAAACGACGACAATGACTAAGAATGTTCTGGCGATAAACGAAATTTCTTAGGAATTACTGGCTTTGTTGGGAATCGGTCAACTTAGTTAGCTGACCGGATTATCCACTTGTTCTCATTAATCTTCTGCTTCTTTTCTCTCCTCTTCTGTTAGGAGCCTCATTTTGATTTTTAGTAGTCCTACAACACGCCGTAACCGGTATCTGAATGCACGAACACCAATCAAAGTCCCACATGAATGTTTCGAGTTGTCACGGTAGTCGTAAGATTGACAACATTTTTCGGCTTACGGAGCCGTCATCGTTTTCAGTTGAAGAAATAATAAGGTCGTCGGGGGGAGAAGCGAGCGAATACTTTTCAATTGTTTTTCGCCTTCATAAAGGTTGGTTTTCTTTCTTAATAGAGAACCTTTTGTGGTAACGGGACTACAGCTTGTTATTTGACATCTATCACTTTTACTCTGAAGTGAACTTAAAGGAGAAATCCACGATAACAACGAAGGTCACTGAAGGGAAATTGCATCGTATAGCTAAAGGCGGACTCCTGAGGGTGTTGACCGTAGCGCACAGGTGGGCCTCCTGAGGGTGCTGACCGACGCGCAATAGGCAGCGAAAGGTTTGACCTCAGCGATCTAGCATGGCCTCACTCTTGACGCGGTTGTGCGGGGCGGGACGCCCACCGACTATCTAATCACTCGCCGCAGGTCTATACCGAGTGATTAGATAGCAGAGAGAGCGTAGTGTTGAAGAGGGCACAGCGATGAGAGTCGCATCAATGCGCAAATCAACGGGCAAGGAAGGGGTCCCATTTCTCGGGTTTCGGGCCGTTTCAAATGGTTTCTTCTTCATCCTGCTCCACTGACCACTACCCTTATTTCCAATGAGCTAACTTTTCGTCGTGAATTCTGCCTTTAAAGCAACATCCCACAGTATAAATCGCTGCTAAGTAATATTGTTCAGTGTATGGAAGGATTAGCCCGATTAGTTAGTACAGAGGTGTCGTTGCCGGCGGTGCAAAAGTGGCGCCTCAATGGCACTAGGGTCTTAAAAAGTCCAGCATTTGGCAATTAGTCTCAGCATTTGGACGACATACTCGCAATTCCTGGCATGCAACGTGGATTACGGCGTAGGAGTAAAGTAGCCGATAGGTGGATATACATTGGTAATGCATCTCATTTGATGCGATTTCGCTCAAAAAAAACACAAAGTCCTTTCTTGCCCCATTTATTCTCAAGCCCGGCTAACGATTGTAATCTTGAGGATGTTGCTCTAAGGAGCTTTGCATGTTTTTTCTCCCTTTTCTCAATATAAAAATCTTTCGACACAGTACTCTGTGTCGTTGACTCATTTTTTTTTATTTCAGACAGGAAAGCTCACCGTAACGGTATCAAGAAGCCGAAGAAGCAAAGATTCATGTCGATGAAGGGTGTTGACCCTAAATTCCTCAAGAATTTACGTTTCGCTAAGAAGCACAACAAACGACATGTTAAGATGGAATCTACTGCCTAAACTTGATTGTTGATTCTTTTGTTATAAACTTTTGTTATTTTCTCTGTCCCACATCTTCTGGTTGAATCCGTAGCAGTACATTCAAAGATTCTTAATAGTGATGACTACATCAAAAGTTGTAGAACTTGATTGGCAAACAAAGATGAAAAGTCGGGTAGCGAAATAGGTGATGTTTTTCGTCACAGCCGTTATAATCATGAAAACATCGTTTCTGTGCTGAAAACGTACGTCCATTCAAAAAGCAAAACCTGCGAAATGACGGGGGCAGATTGTGGATATGTTTGCTTTTTTTCTCTTGGCGAGATCATAGGCTCAATGTCTCCGTCTGCGAGTTTTTTCCACCATGTTCGATGTATTTGTACTTTCTTTTGCCAGAAAATTTTGTATTCGAATTTCTGAATGATCGCGGTGAAGAAACATTCCAGTAGTTACCTCTCTATCCACTCTTTCTGCCATCTCCTCGTATTCTTTCGTATGCCGTTCACTCATTTCAGCAATTTCGCGTTGCTTTCGCATTGACAGTTCCAGAGAATCAATCTAAACCAGATAACATGAAGAATCTTACGGATTAATTCCAGGAATATTACGACAGGTATTCAACTGAAGATTCCAGACTCATCGAAAATTTTCTCCATGCTTGGCTATTGGCGCTCTGGGCTGAATGTCGACAATGAAAATGACTACCTTCTAAAATCGCTTCAAACTCACTAAACGTAGCGCCTTAACAGCCTCTGCCTTGCTCACGGTGCTAGGATTTCGTAGTAATCGAAGACATCCGTTCAGCAGTTGGAACCGCCTTTCTTCACCCGTTCCTTCGCCATCGGCAAGTAGTTTGCGAAGTAATACTTCTTCCCGCATTCACTTAAATAATCAGCTGTTTTGTACAGGTAGACTACCAAATGATTCTCTAAAAGCTGTCCAAGATCGAAAATCTTGAGGCGAGCCCTGAGTAGCAACCATCCCCGACAACAAGCGATATAACCTACACTACAACAGATACTGTATTTGCAAGTTGTGCAAGTTTTTGCACGCTCATTTTCCCATTATATTCACTGTTCAGTTGAGTACCAGCGATACTGGTCGGCATTAATTCACGAGTTCAGGCATGCTGACTTCTACTCCACCAAATCAGACAAAATGAGGCAAACACCTAGTGGCAACTACTGTACTTAGTATCTCACAAAAGGAGGCACAAGTACATCGAACATGGTGGAAAACGTTCGCAGAAGGAGACATTCACCCTATGATCTCGCCAAGAGAAAAAAGCAAACATATCCACATCTGCCCCCTACTTTCGCAGGTTTTGCTTTTTGAATGGACGTACGTTAACGTGTTTTCATGATTATAACGGCTGTGACGAAAAACATCACCTATTTCGCTACCCGACTTTTCGTCTTTGTTGCCAATCAAGTTCTACAACCTTTGATGTAGTCATCACTATTGAAAATCTTTGAATGTACTGATACGGACTCAACCAGAAGATGTAGGACAGAGAAAATAACAAAAGTTTATAACAAAAGAATCAACAATCAAGTTTAGGCAGTAGATTCCATCTTAACATGTCGTTTGTTGTGCTTCTTAGCGAAACGTAAATTCTTGAGGAATTTAGGGTCAACACCCTTCATCGACATGAATCTTTGCTTCTTCGGCTTCTTGATACCGTTACGGTGAGCTTTCCTGTCTGAAATGAAAAAAATGAGTAAACGACATCAGAGTACTGTCAAAGATTTTTATATTGAGAAAAGGGAAAAAAAAACATGCAAAGCTCCTCAGAGCAACATCCCCAGATAAAATCGGTTACAGCGCTTGATAATGAGGGCAAGAAACTTGCTTTTTTGAGCAAAATCGCATCAACGCGATGCATTACCATGTATATCTACCTATCGGCTACCTTATTCGCTACGCCGTAATCCACGTTGCATGCAGGAATTGCATGTCGTCCAAAATGCTCAGATTAATCGCAAATGACCTGACTTTGTAAGACCCATTAGCGCAATGATGCGCACATTTGAACCAGCAACAACGACCAAACCTTACGATAGTGAGTCATCCATCCATCCACAGAACAAATCCTAGCACACGACTTCTGATTGTTTATACTGTGAAGGTATTACTTTGAAGGCAGAATTTCACGATGAAAATTAGCTCATTGGAAATAAGGGTAGGGGCAGTGGAGCAGGGATGAAGAAGAAACCATTTGAAACGGCCCGAAACCCGAGAAATGGGACCCCTTCCTTGCCCGTTGATTTGCGCATTGATGCGACTCTCATCGCTGTGCCCTCTTCAACACTACGCTCTCTCTGCTATCTAATCACTCGCGCGTATAGACCTGCGGCGAGTGATTAGATAGTCGGTGGGCGTACCCGCACGCTGCCAAGAGTGAGCCATGCTAGATCGCCGAGTCAAATCTTTCGCTGCCTGTTGCGCAACGGTCAGCACCCTCAGGAGGTCCGCCTGTTCCTAACAATGCAATTTCCCCTTCAGTGACCTTCGTTCTTATCGTGGACTTCTCCTTTAAGTTCACTTCAGAGTAAAAGTGATAGATTTCAAACTGTAGTACCCGTTAACACAAAAGATTCTCAAAGTTGAAAACGTGATGGCTCCCGTAAGCCGAAAATATGTTCAATCTACGACTACCGTGACAACTCGGAACATTCATGTGGGACTTTGCATGGTGTTCGAGCATTCAGATACCGGTTACGGCGTGTTGTAGGACTACTAAAAACCAAAATGAGGCTCCTAACAGAAGAGGAGAGAAAAGAAGTAGAAGATAAATGAGAACAAGTGGATAATCCGGTCGGCTAACTAAGTTGACCGATTCCCAACAAAGCCAGTAATTCCCGAGAAATTTGGTTTATCGCCAGAACATTCCTAGTCATTGTTGCCGTCTACAAACTGCTTAGAACAGTTGTGTATGAATTTGCAGAAATCTACCTTTCCACACAGGGAAAACAACTTTATAGTTGGAACAATAGAGAAATGCACTGATTCCCTTATTGGGAGCAGAGCACACTAACGTACTAGGAGGGAGAGAATGCGAGGCGCAGAGCACTCAATGCTTTTTAACCATGTCGCCTTCCTGCACAAGCAAAACAGATTCACACACCTAGAGCTTCCTAGCTCTGCGGAAAAGTGAAGTAGTCCTGCTGGAATGAACTGCTGCGCTAAGACATTCCCTCCCCCGCTAATAACACAGCGATCAGTGAGAGCGATTTTTGCAGTTTTTTTGGGGTTTGCTAGGAAAGAGTTAGTCCTTGATGCCGAGCACATATATTACAAACGTTTCGATCTCGGAGTTGTTCTCAAATTTTGGGAGCAAGCGGTCTCCTAGTTAGAATACCCAATGTTACTTCCCAAATAAACGCTTGCCTAGCATTTCGCCTTCCAATGGAAAAGCAATCATAATCCTATCGGCATAGAAAGATACACTATTTCCTTATTTTAGACCAAATTGACTTCCTTTTTTCGACGCCTGGACGTCGGAAAAAAAAGTCAAAAATTAAAGCAACCCTGGATGAGGTTGTGTGCCGAACAATCTTTTTGTGAGCAGGATAGAGTACGCACACGTATCCCAGAAGTGCCTTTGTCGTGTCTAAAATTGTGCGCGACAATGGTGCTAAAGCCTTGCAAAGTGAGCTAATATGGCTAATGTGAGGTAATGAACGAGATATAAGGAAGAAGAGGAGATGTCTTGCTTAATCCTAATCCTTAATCAGCGGTCTGCAAACTTTCTACTTCAGCTTTCAGTCTCTACATGCACAATTTCATTAACTGCTACTCCACCAATTTGATCTGGGGTTGTTGCTTGGACCCTGTTGGGCACCGCTCATAGCTCAAAATTCGAACGATTCGGCGATTATGCTGCAAGAAATGTATAAGGAACGATCAGAAGGATCGTCGACGCACTGCATTAACGAATGAACGGAGAAGATTGAGTCGATGTCCATACAATCTTTTCAGCTGAGTCGCCGAACTTTCGGATCAGAACATACACATTCTTTTCAATGAATCCACAAATCCCCAAAACCGTGAGCTATGAACATTGCCTTGGTAAGGAAACCATAGCCTAGCACCACGTTGAATCAAAAGCTCAAAGGCTTGATGAATCTTGTTTCCCGGCTACTCCCTGCCTCTATTATGATCACACTACAAGAGTAATCACAGATCGAAATGAAATTCGGGGGGGGGGGCATGATCGTTAAAAATGGAGTTTCATAAGAAAGTAGAACGAGTACAAGACAAAACGTACTCTGGTTATGATTCGTGTGGTTCTTTGATTTGGCCATCTTGGCAAAATATTACCTGAAAACAAAGCAGTAAAAACCGCAAGCCACAGTAAAGCTCCAACGTGACGCGAACGTTAACTCTTCAAAAATATTCACAAAATCATCACAAGAATGCTGAGTTGTGGGCAAAACTTGTGGGCAAACAAACAAAACAAAAGTTTTGCTCACAACTCAGCATTCTTGTGATGATTTTGTGAATATTTTTGAAGAGTTAACGTTCGCGTCACGTTGGAGCTTTACTGTGGCTTGCGGTTTTTACTGCTTTGTTTTCAGGTAATATTTTGCCAAGATGGCCAAATCAAAGAACCACACGAATCATAACCAGAGTACGTTTTGTCTTGTACTCGTTCTACTTTCTTATGAAACTCCATTTTTAACCGATCATTGCCC